CAGACACCAGACACCAGACACCAGACACCAGACAGACAGCCATGGCTAAATTTTCACGCCCCTGTCACGAAAATTATTATTTTTCTCGTGCGCACATACCCCACACACGATCCCTCTAAACAGCTTTTTTTTCGCAAAACAACAAAACAAAAAGCGTACCCCTAACGGGACACACTTTTCACAAAAAAAAAACTATTATAATATTCTAGATGGATACATGAATGCCAGTTTTGGAATCGGCACGTCTCAATATTACATCACCTTCAGCTCGACTGGGATGCACATGCGCCCGGCCACATCTTTCTTGCGCATGGAGAACCACTTCTTCTTCTTGACCAGCTCCATGAGCTCGGTGAAGAACTGGTAGGGGGTGCGGAAGCGCCTCCGAAAAAGCTTGGTCTCCCTTGACGCTGGTTCCTTGAGGCCCGTCTCGCCCAGCATGCGTCACCAAAACGAGGCGCGGTAGTCTGGCCGTGGAAGAACTCGGCGGGTACGCTTCACGGGGGAGCCACCACCAAGGCCTTCGTCCCCCAACTCGTCGCCATCTGGGAAGGACCGCAGGACAACTCGCCAGGTCGCCACGGTAAGCACAGCGCATTGCCGCTCGCGACGTCTCCGCTTCGCTGCTGCAAGAACAACAAGTAGGTGGGCATGTCGTTCGTCGTCGCTGCCGCTGTCGTCGGCCGCGCTCGCGTGCTCCATTTCGCAAGCCAGTCTATGCTGGGTGCTGGAAAGCTCGTGCACACACACGCCACGCTCGGGTGCCGCTCGGGATGGATGCGGTGTGACCCCGCGATTTCGGTGTGTTCGATCAAAACGAACAATCCGTCGGCAACATCCGGGCCCGATTCCCATACGAAACATATGCCCAACCATCGTTGGAGCCTCGGCCCAGATGTTCCAACCGATTTTTTTTTTCCCTAAACCCGCCGCATTCGTGCCCAAAAGGTGGACATGCCACGAAAATTGAAAAAAAAATCCGTTCCGTGGCCAACTTCCGGGAACCATAAGAGTCAGCCTCAGGACCATTACCGTACCGTCTTCTCTATATTTGCCAGCCCACCACGACCAAAGCATCATTGCCCCAAATGCAGCGGCGAGACTAAACCCGAAACGTATTCAAATATCATCTGCAAGAGCATTTCCGCCAAACGGAGAGGGTATAGCTGCCTTCCTGGCAAGACAGCACATACTTTCCGTCGTCAGTCATCGGAGAAGGTGTGCCGTCTGCTCGGCGGCGACCTAAGCCTCATGTCCGAGATCGAGGCCCGCCACGCTACCCTCAAGAGCACCGGGCAGGGCCACGCGACCCAACAATTCCTCCTAGATGGACACGAGGATGCGATCGATGGCATGCCGGCTGGCTTGAAGTACTTGTCTAAGGCAGGCCGCGCACAGTTCGCCAAGCAAATGATTGGGCAGCGTACAAAGGCTGAAAGTTGGAGAACAACAACTACAGTAAAGCAAGGTGGCACTCAAACGCAAGAGAGTCGACGACCTCGTCCAAAGCTACAGGGCCCTACAGGACCTTGGTGTCCACCTCGATGGGCGCACGCTAGTCGAGTTGCGCGACAACGTGACAATCCTCAGCCGCCAAGACGTCGTGATCAACAACGTGGTGGCCGTCGCTACACCGCTCCTACAAGACTCGAGCATGCCCACACACGAGCTTGGCGCTGAGCACAGGGTAAAAGGGACAGCTCGCGTTTTCACCATCTACACCACAATCTTAACTCACGTTGTTAACTGTAAAAATTAAAATAGTGGCAAGGCACAAGCACTCATACAATAACTATGCTCGCCGAATTCAGCATGGACCTGGTGGTCTCCTTTCTACCCGATACGAAATCTATGGCAGCGTTCGCAAGGACCGATAGGCTCACGAAAGACGCCGTGTACGGCAACATCCCAATCGCATTGAAAGCCGCGCAGCAAAACATGACCAAATACCAGAAAGAAACACTGTGCCGTTTCGGTGAGAATCCGGGACTCGGGCACCTGAAAGCGATCGTAGAGCGGAGGTGTCTCGTATGCCACAAGAGCTACAAGGGCGGAATTCGGGCGCCATGGAGAATCCCGGCGCACCCAGCGTGTACCAAGGGCCTAGAGACCAACGTGCGCTACATCAACGGCGGGATACTGACCGGGCTGATACGCCTCGTCCGCTCGACCATCCCGGTCAACGTCAGGAGGTGGTACAGCTCGTACCACGGCCAGTTCGAATACGAGACAATCATGTCCAAGGCCATCTCTGGCGTCATCCCCGAAAACATGACTCTCGAGTTTTCCTACAAGGCTCACAAAGACAGGGTGAACGCCTGGCTGGAGAGAGTGCGTGTGGAAGAAACAGCAAAACAAGAGAAACGGAAGCGCGGCCGAGGAGCAGAGGATTACGCGTCAGAAGAGGAAGAAGGTTTTAAACGAGGACCGGAGGGCGTCGATCGAGGGCATGGTCGACACGACTTATCTCAAGTGGATACGCACGGTCCCGAAATACGCAAACAAGTTCGTGTCGAAGCTGTCGGCGGAGGGGAGCGTTAACGCGGCGACTATCATCCGCGCCAACGTAGACCTGTCCGAACAAGCGCACATCGTAGTTCTGAAACGGGGAAAAGAGTTGAGCAGCGCGTATGCACTCGTTCGCAAGTACGGAGAACAAGCGCTGGTTTTGCTCCGCCGCGGTTATGACATAAACCATTGAGGAGGCGCTCGTGGAAGACGCTGACCTCGACCACCTCCTTCGCATCGGCGACAACAACTCCTTCCAGCTGCATCTGGAGGTATCGACCGCATCACAGAGTTGGAAGACCGGACTCGCCAGCAGCTTCGTCTGCCTCCGCTGGGAAGTACGACGCCGCACGTGCAGAGAGCAACCGGCTAGCCTTGCCGGGGGCAGGGGACGTGGGGCTCGAAAGAGGAGCGGGCGCAAGGGGGGGAGGTGGGAAAGCAAGAGGTAGGAGGCCTTTCGCGCGGGGGAGAGGTGGAGGAAGACCGTCCGGCAGGCATGCTCCTCCCTGGCGCCGACCGGCCCTTATGGGTGCAGTGCGCTCGCGAGACCACGCAGAACAGCGAGCGGCACGAACGGCCCACAAATTCGTGGCTCCTCAGCCCCTTCCGCTCGACACCATCGACCACGACAGCCGCGTTTCCAACCGTCGCCGAGATCGCAAGACCTCGTGCAGCGCATACCCGCCTCCCTTCGGGCACACAACGGGATATGGACCACAGGGTCGTTCAACCCCGGGGAAGAGCACGACCACCATGAGGTACATCAACAGGAACCCGGGCGTCCATAATGCACTTGGACCTTGAAACGTCACACGCTGTGGATTGCGGAGTTACGTCACGCCTTCTGCAACAACCTACTCGAACTTGACGTCAACCTACCCCGCATTATCGATATGCCGAGGGATGGTTTCGTTGTGCTGTCTGGAGTGCCACCGTGAAACAGAATGCTAAATCCAGATAACAAGGTCCCTCATGTGTGCTTGGAATCAGTGCAAAGGCAGCATGAAGCACAAGAAGGAGTAGTAGGAAGTAGAAGCGCAGAACCAAGACGTGCCTTGCAGTTCGAACACCTATTCGACTCACGGATCCGAAACTGGTTGCTGGTTGGTTGTTCGAACGAAGGGATAACGGGCGCTCTTCAGGAATGACCGATTAGCGCCGTATGCTTCCCTCGTCGTCGGACGTTGGCGCCCGTCACGCCTCTACAGCTCGCGCTCAAACATAACTCGGTGGAAAGCATTCGAGTTCGAACGGTCTGTGTAATACACCAAACTGAAAAAAATGTTTCCTCTCCCGTAAGAGTCTGAAACCCAAACAACCTAGCACCCGGACAATGGCACGGCCACCAACCTCTGCGAAACACACACGGTCTACATTTGCGTCACCATTTAAAAGCTCAGACTGTCATGAACACATCGCCTTTGTCGGGGCCAAACGAACATACATGTTGTACGCGTGCCATGTACCGGCCAAAGTATGCACTTCACGAACACACCCCAATTCAATGTCTTCGTCATGTTTGTTAAAACATTCACGTGAAATCTGAGCGTGGTTCCTGCACCTCTGCCCGTGACCGATTGCATCCCCATCTCGTGAAGGATCGCATATCTGCATGTTTCTCATTCCCTTCCTGCCGGCGGTAGAACAGCAAGCCGAATAGCAGCGGAACGACCAGCCAGAATCCTGAGATTTCACCGATCGTCCCAATAATGTCCAAGGGGTCAACTTCCTCGTACTTCACGTACGTCAGCGTTCGAATGTCTAGCTGGATAGAAGCCAGGCTATCCGTTCCGTAGTCTGCCGCCAGCACAACCGCATCTTCAGCGTTGTGCCACGGAGATTGGGTTGTGTCCACCACCATGTAGTTATTCTCCGTGTCCTGGTTCAGCTTCACCCTCTGCTCGTACTCCAAGAACCCTCTGACAAACGGCACCTCATTCGCATCGAAGCTCATGGGCGCGTAGAGCGTAATGGGCGTATCCGCCAGTTCCGCCGCAGTCATTCGTGGGTCGTAGAGATACATCTTGATGCTCTCGAAGGCACCCGGGTTGAGGGTCGCGTTGTACTGCGAGACGGAAAATGGGGAAGGCACCCAAAGAAGGAGCTCAACACCGCTTGTTGTGGCAACAAAAGTTCTCCAAAAAAGTGTTTTTCGGGATTTTTTGTCGGGAACTTTTTCATGAACGCTAGGTATAGGAGCAAAAAGTTGCGTCAAAAGTTTGGAAATTGTTGCTTTTGGCAATAATCTCTCGATCCGGAGCACAAGTAGGGGGTACTTTTGTCGCGGCAAAAGTTGCCGACAAAAGTTCCGCGGCGAGACTTCCGCCAATCCACGTCGAGCACCTTCCCCTACCACACAGGTAGACACTCTCCCGCCACACACGCGCGCACGATCCACGCGATAGATGAACGGCAAACTCAGAATACTTGACCGACGAGTTGTAATTGCCTGGATGGCTGCAGTTGTGCAGAATACTTGAATTTTAGCGTCTACGTCAACAAGTTATGTCAAATGAGAGCATGATCAGGGTCTTCCGAGCTTCGATTGGAAGGCACAACGCCAGGTTTGATACCTCCAACATGTTTTCCAACCTTTTGTTGCACGCTCTGGCTGCTTTGGCGGTGTGGTCAAAAAACAAAAACTGATCACGCCTCCGCATTCCACCAGTCCCGTCCCGTGGACAAAATTTTCTTCGCCCCATATGGAGCGGTGTTTGCCATCGGGATTGGGTTTTCGTCGCTTGGCAACGACGTTGTAAAACAAGCC